GTGTGTGTGTGTGTGTGTGTGTGTGTGTGTGTGAGTGAGAGAGAGAGAGAGAGAGTGTGTGACTGTATCAGTCATCATCATAGACTGGTCATCATTAGACACACGCAAGGGCGCGCGCAAGCTTCTGTACACAAGACTCGCGGAGGATAATCTAGACAGGTGTTACTTCGCTAAAGGCTGAACTGATCCATTCAAGGCCTTTAGCGTTTTAGACTCCGAAGGCTGACTGGCACTGATACGCTACTGGTATTGAGATCTTATATAGGAAGCCACTTGAATGTTCGGTAAAAAAAAAAAGTGTTAATTTTTGTAGTGTTTTATTTTATCATTAGTAAACGCGTCGAGTAAATCTTAAGAAAGTACTCGGAACCTAATGTGTGACTGTATCAGTCATCATCATAGACTGGTCATCATTAGACACACGCAAGGGCGCGCGCAAGCTTCTGTACACAAGACTCGCGGAGGATAATCTAGACAGGTGTTACTTCGCTAAAGGCTGAACTGATCCATTCAAGGCGTTTAGCGTTTTAGACTCCGAAGGCTGACTGGCACTGATACGCTACTGGTATTGAGATCTTATATAGGAAGCCACTTGAATGTTCGGTAAAAAAAAAAAGTGTTAATTTTTGTAGTGTTTTATTTTATCATTAGTAAACGCGTCGAGTAAATCTTAAGAAAGTACTCGGAACCTCATTTTTTCTCTGTTCATCTGGGTAAGTCGTGTTTTTGAAACTTTTAAGATATCCTTTTTGTTTCGGTACTGTTGTCGTTCACTTGCTTTCTTCGAGTCTTTTGATGTAAGTTAGCGGATTGGTACATCTGCTCTCTTCCGCTGTCTCGCCTTTCCAGTTGAACGAAGTGTATCTTAAAAGTATACTGTTTATTATGTTTTGTTTTGTTAGTCTTGTAGTTTATAGATAAATAACATCCATATAGACAATAGTGTAATATTAGCCTGTATGCTAAAGCTGTATTTTGTCACATATGGAACAAAAGCAACAGGTGACTGAAGACTTCAACTAAGCTAAAACAGCCAAAACATGTTTTAGAATAATAATTACGTTATTACTGTCCGTAATGGATTGGATTCAAGGATTTACAGCAAGTAAAAATGTCATTACTTTATAATAATTCGATTATTAGGCGCTAAAAATACAATTGTAGCTAGCCTGTTAGCTTGCTAGCTCAAGAGGCTGTCTTGGATGTCTGGTCAGTGTTTGTTGTTGTAGGTTATGATTGATTATTTGGGCCTTTCATGTGCACCCAAATCTGTCTGGCATGAATTTGAAAGAAAAACTAAAAGAGATCAGAAAGAGAAGAGATATGCGCTAACATCTGTCTGCTCCTGAGTGAAGTTTGTACAACAAATCACTGCAACATTTCTTCCTCTCATCATGAGTATGGAAATATTGTAAAACCTGTTCCTCCAGCCAGAGGAGAATAAGTCTCTTTCAATGTCAAGATAACAAAGGCAATTAATTCAATTAAGCTTCATTAACCTTCTAAATGAGCACTTGACATTGGTCTAATTAATTCCTGGTAACAACACTAATCTTAAATTCACTAGGTTTATTTATGTTGAAATTATGTTCTAAAACTGTGTGATACTATGTAGTATTGCATATAAATGAATTCTGTCTGTCTGTCTCTCATCTGTTGTTTAGCCTTTTGGGTCAGTATTTGCTGCTTGAATTGTACTGAATGAATTGTACTTGGTTTCTCAGGAGTCGAATGGCCTCTGTTGTTACAGTGAAGACAGAGAAGCGTCCTTCCCATGACTCTGAGGATGGCGACACAGTGGCTAAAAAGGCCAGGTATGAAAACAACAGATGTTTGTGTCTTGCTTTGCTGCCAGCACATTCCCAGGGCGAGCCAAATATTCTTCATTGAAGTCAGCTCCTGTTTGCTGACCTGTTCTGATGAACATGTGATCTTTCAAAGACCTGTACTTCCTGATAAGAATGACTTTGCCAGATAGGTTTTTCCTATTCTTTGAAAAAAATGATAGTCCACCCAAAAATGAAAATTCTGTCATCATTTACACACCCTCATGTCATTCCAAACCTGTGTGACTTTCTTTCTTCTGAAGAAGACAAAACAAGATATTTTGAAGAAAGCTGGTAACCAGTTTTGGTTCCCATTGATTTCCATTGGACTTTTTGTCCGTACATTGGAAGTCAATGGGATTTGAAAGCATTTTGTTACCAGCATTATTCAAAATATTTTCTTTTGTATTACCCTTAAGAACACAAAAGAAGATATCTTCTTTTGTGTTTCCTTTAAAGCGTAGAGGATTGGATGAAACCGATTTTGAAAGAATTAGAAATAATTATTTTAAAGGGGTCATATGATGCGATTTCAAGTTTTCCTTTCTCTTTGGAGTGTTACAAGCTCTTGGTGCATAAAGAAGATCTGTAAAGTTGCAAAGACTAAAGTCTCAAATCCAAAGAGATATTCTTTATAAAAGTTTAGAGTTAACCACACCTACCTAAAACGGCTCGTTCTAACACACCCCCACATGTCTACGTCACTGTGTGGGAAGATTTGCATAACGTCGCCTAAATGTTCACGTAAAAAAAAGAAGGTGTAACTTTTATTCTCGCTGTAGTATTGTTGGCGCTGCCTAATTATCGTTGTAAAAGCGAAACTATTTTGTTTGGTCTTCCAAAAGAGGACGATATCCGCTTCGTCATGCCTAGAGCTGATCTGTGCTGGTCGCTGAGGGCTGAGGCTTTCACATGTTGCCCGGGGTCGTCACATGTGGTTGCCACAAGCCCGCCGGA